CACTTATATACGTATAGTATATACAAATATCTCTATCCATGTGTTTATATGTCTATACATAGATGTATGCTAGCTAATCATTCCAAGTCTTATTCTTCCCTCCCACCCCGCTTCTTTCCTCCCACCCCACAACCCCCGAACCTTACTGTACGCGCGCCCCTGGAACCCGTGCCCCTACCATCCGTTTACTCCCTCTATGCGGTGCTGGCGTACAATACGGATTTGGGCCCCGAATTTTGGCTGAATGTCGGGGCGTTGGGGGCTGGGACCGTGGCAAAGGCTGAGACCCAAGGGGAGAAAGCAGTAGTCAAAGTGCTCAACTTCAGATGCTGATTTAGGAAACAGGCCAAGCTTGTTGCGCCAAAGATGTTGCCAGTTTCCTTAGACCTAGGTGAATCACAGAGCTCGAGTTCTTCGGACGCGAGTTCTCTGCCCATGGCCAGGGACGCTCTCCCAAAACCAGGTTGGACAGTGATGGAAGATGAGTGGGCTGTCCCATTGCCTGAAATCCACTTGCAAGATCAGGTTGAAACCATGGAGATCATAGGTTGCAATTCATGTGGCGGTTGCCCGTGTTGGGCTTTCAACACTCTATCGGTTCACACTGGCCAAGTAACATGCACATTACTGGGCTTCTCTTGCAGGGAGAAAGCAAACCAAAGTAAGCGGGTTGGAATCCACTATATATGTATTCATTGGCGACTTGCCAGTCTGTCAACTTGAGGAGTGACGCTGAGCTGGAACTGTCTATTCACTTTGCTTGGCTGAAAGGGCACTGCTAGGGCCGTTGTAGGTCCAAATCGTGCTGTATATAGAGATATGCCACTCATCGTGATGTGCATGCACGTTTTTTTGCCAGCATTGACCTGGGTTGTTCCTCCAAACTGCAATGGATCAGGAGCAGGGCTTAGCATACGAAGCAATTTACGCTGAGGTTCTGCATGGGTTTGCGCTTTGGCACACCACTACCATCTGTTTTTGTCTCATCAACCCTTGTGCATCAGCAATTGGGGGTTCTCCAGCCTGCAGCATGTCTCGCTGAGTTTGCTTCGCATTTGCTGCGACCATGGCTTCGCTTGAACATCGGTTGGCCCTCCATTGTGCAGAGAAACCAACAGGAAACGCTGCCGACTCTGCACGACCAAATGGCGCCCCTGCCTTCTGCTGCGCCAGGCGCTTGCAAACGTCCAGGGCAGTAGCGCCCTTCTTGTCCTGGGCTGTGGCGATGCCGAACCCAGCTTGGAGTGTGCAAGGCCAACTGCTTTGGCACATGCGCGCAAACAAGTCACAACCAACCAGTCTGAAAACGCTTTGACATCTGGAAGCGCAGGTCCAAGCCTACAAGCCACCTCTTGGCAAATTACAACCGCGCGTCGTCAAGACGGCTTGGTTCAAACAGAGCCCAGGACCTCACATGTTTGGCCAAATACCTGGCTCTCCTTGTGGCCCGTCAGCCAGCCAGTGGCGCTTGGGAGTACGCCAGCGGGGGTGGCACAATTACTCAACGGCGTGGAAGCCATAAGCCCAAAAAAAGAAAGAGCCGTGAGCTTCAAGACGTTTCAGTTACTCAGGCATGGCAACTTGGCTCCATGCGATGGCAGCACCAAAATAGCCAAATACTTCGCTCACCTCACGCTGAAATCCGCGACCTGATTCTAATCATGTCCCGGCGGCGCGGGCACGAGGATCGCCGTGCGCCAGCAAAAGCTCTGCAGCGATCTGCAGGGTCGCATCCCCGCCTTTGCCTTGCCACTGAAAAAGCCAACACGCCCAGGGTGACGAACCCCGACACTGACCATATTGTATGCGTGGCAGGTTTGCTCGCACCCTTTGGGTGGATCCATTGTATTCGTCCCCCCTTTCTGGCTGGGCTGTGGAAACGCAGGTGATGCCCACCCACTTGCATCTTGAGCCCCCCCATGCCCCCGTGTCCCTCCCAGGGCCTGCAACTGCCATTTCGCAGAGCTCCTGCAGTGGCCGCCGGCCCTGGGTGTCCCAGGCGTTCGCGTCGGCATTCGCTTGCAGCGCCAGCCGCGCTTGCCTCAGGCCACCCACCTACCCCGGGAGGGGGGAGGAGGGGGGCGCCTCGACACTTTTGGGGTTATGATGCCTCTCCATGGGCGTCAAGTCTCCGTTTACTGATTGAAGGGGTGCCAAAATTAGGAAACAAGCACAGGCGCTTTGTGCTTCCGCAGCCTACCCTTCAAATGTTACCTGACTCAATGGGCACCGACTTCTTCTGCCAGAGTGATGACATCAACTTGCTGGAACATGCTGGTGAAGTCGACACAGCCTTACAAACCGTGCAAACCGAGTCTTTCTTGGAGTGCTTCACCCCCTTCCCCCCAAACAGCCAAATGAATAACGCCATCACGTCAAACTTACATTCGAACTCTTTTGGGCCAGCAAAGCCTTTCGGAGGTAGGGCCGCAAGTCAAGCAAACACAATCCGGACCCGCCCGCCCCGAATGCTCCACCGGGCCGCGCCAAGTCTTGGCGCTGCACCGCCTGCCACAGCGGGCGGTTCTCCGAGCGGCCCTGGTCCGCCTTCTGGGCCCTGGCGGCCGTCCCGGCAACAAAAACAAGAACGTCAGGTAAAGACGGGCCAGAATATGACGTCAACAAATTTATTCTCTGGGATCTGGTCACATTCCCCGCCTTCAAGTCTAGATCCAGGAGAAGCCACCAAATGATCCGTTCCATTTGTGGCTCAGAATGTTGGCCAAGAGAATGCGAGGGAAGGAGGCAGGTGACAGTTAACACCATTCCATTCCCTTCCTACATCTCTCTCAGTTGGAATTTCCGGAGGGTTAGACAGGTGAGGGGGACAGCCCTCATACTTCGGGGGAAGAACCTACAATGACATCAAGAGGCAGTTAAATTGTCATCTCTTGCCAGTCAGCTCTAGCAAGTCAGACGAGTCTAGTGGTATTCTCAGCCGCTTTTGTAGATGCTGGCGGTGCGACATGTTGCACGCCACACCTTTTGCATGACCCGGAGACAATTTGGCTCAAATAGACTGGCGAATTTGATGATGAAACATCATGCCAGCGAAGCAACCTCACAATCGAATTTCCAAAGCCATGCATATTCACGTGTACATATATAGCCGCGCCACAGCTGGTTCTGTCAACGTTCTTTGTGCAAGCACACTTTACATATACAATTCAGTTCCAGCAACAAGTCGCAGTCATTTCGCTGCAAGTGCGTAGTATGTTCTCTGCCCCAGCGTCTTGATCGACCAGTTGCCAAAGTGGGTGGCAGCCCCATGCTTCTTCCTAATGCAAGGTGGCCGGCAAAAGTTGGCATCGCCGAACCCAGTGCAAGGGCGTAAATAATTAACACTGGGTTGCAGGTCACTCGTTGATTCAAATTTAGTCATGATTGTAAGAGTAAGCTATACAGCAATAATTTAGTCTCCTGCCGCTCCAACACCAAGCCCATTGTGAGCGGCGGACAGCAAAGCAAGCCTGGAAACAGGCCGGCTGCCAATGTTTCACATCGCCGCGTATATTTCAATCAACATCACTCAGCTGGCCCCACTGAAGTGCATAATTCTGCCGTGAGTGCCAATTCTGTTTTTTTCAGATAGTGCTGTTGGCTATGCCCCAGTTTGGCTGGCATCTGGTTGAAGGGACTCGACTCTGACACGTGCACCCTCTTGGCCCTCATCTGGGGTACAAAGAACATACATAATTCGTTCTGGATCTGCTCCATAGTTGGTCTCTATATAAAACATGTTGGGATATGTTTGGAGGAGACCCTCGCCCAAACCGCCTGGGGCAATCAGGGAAGAATCCGTAGGACACCTCCTTCTCCCGGTCCGCAGGTCGCTCCAGCCAGGTCCGGACACAGTTGGGGCCCTTGTTGGTGAACGGATCCTTGGGAGCGGCACCGGAAACCGCTTGCACCACCACTGGCCCAAATGCCAACCGCTTCATGAAAGAACTCGCTAAACTGGGCTCCCTAAATCGCGAGCCAGAAAACATGACCCTAAAAGAAGCTCAGTGAAACCACAAGGGGAATCTAGAAAACCTGGTAAAATGAGCTATCTAAGTGGTCAAGGGCATGGCACACTCCAGAGCTTGGTGGGTTGATATTTTTGGATGGTGCGGAAAGGAGCAAGGCAGCAAAAACGCATCAGGGCTGGCCTCTCACTAGTGGGCATCAGCCACGCGCAGCACATACTAGCTTCCAAGCCTTCCCAATTTCCAGGCGATGTAAAGATGATCAAGGGTCAGCCCAGCAAGCTGATCCCAAAAATGTCTGTGTGTTGAACCCATGCACCCCTTCAATTGTCCTTGCCCCGATAGCTCACTCAGGAGTTCCGCGCATCCGCAAACCACACACTCGCATGCGAACACACGCTTGCGCAGGGGGAGGGGCAAGCCTTTCTCCCAGCCCGTCCTTGAAGGGTCGCAGCATCTGCAGCAGCTCCTCCGTGGAGACTTCGGGGCAGTCGAAGAGCATCCCCGCCTCGTCGTAGACGTTGAAGCGCAGCGCCTGTCACTTGGCGCGCTTGGGCGCCAAGCGATGGCCGGTTGGTTTGGAGGCCCAAAATGGATAGCCAAGCAACCCAAGGACCATAGTACCAAAAGATAAACTGCCAATGCTCAATATGGCGACTTAAAGCAAAGCCAATGCAACTGAGGGGGCCACAAACAAGCAGCGCTACTCAATCCATCTCTCACTTTGCTATCCTGCAATGCCGGTGGCCTTAGCCTTAGTCGCCTCCGATACGGGCCTTCCTTGCTTGCACTGAAGATGCGCATCGCCCCTGAGGGATCAATCACATGTTTGGCTTGGAAGCGATTGGCGATCCATCATTTGATTACACGCAGCATGGCCCCTAAGCCTGGAATCAGGGACCGCACGAACAAACGCTTAGGGCGGTTAAGGTTGCGCTTGCCCCCAAGGACCAGCTTGAAGGTGGGCAACCAGGCGACTGGCACCTCCCGGATTGGGCTGAAGTCCATGACATCCACGATGCCCTCCACTAGCCAGAAGAGCACCTGGCTGCTGAGGTGAAGGATGGAGAGGCAGTGAGTGGGAATGAGGGGGGTGGGGCAATTCTCAGAACCGTGGCCCCAATTTGGACCCGTCTTCCGACCAGACGCCCCAAGCTCTTCGCGCCGACAAGACGCTGCCCCCTGCCTTCGGGTACTTTGCGTGCCGCAGCAGCCGGCCCCGCTTCAATGAAGGCGCCGAGATGCCCCAAAGAGGCGAACTGGTACTGGCAGACCGTTTGGCCGGGTGGCAAAAACCTGACCTTCGAACAAATATTCCGGGGCACGCGCCCTGTCTCTTTACCCTCTTGTGTTTCTTGTTCTTTGGGGGGGGGGGCCAAAAGCTTCGAAAGATAGGCAGTGGCAGCTTGCCAAGCATGTTCGTACAAACATACATGCCTTTGCCTCATGACTTGAAGATCCCATGGCAAAACGTCCTGAGATACCAGATGTGGCACTCGTTGATCACCGTTTCGATGCAATGCAAAGGAAGGCTGGAATGCGGACTGCCACGAGTCATGCGGAAATACTGGCAACACATGAGCTTATCCTGGCTCCCAAGCGAAGCATGTATGACTCAATCTCGCCAGAATTGACAAAGGCGCATGAAGCATCTAATGAGTTTAAGGTTGGCATGCTCGAAAATTTAGACAATACGGCACTCAGTTTGAACTGAGAGCGCGTTGTTTCACCACAAGGCTCAACAAATGGTTCGAAACGACGAGGTTTCATCTGAAGATGCCCCGGAAATCGAAATGAGGCATCTCCCCGCGGCTGCATTCCCAGAGTGTAATACACAAATAACCGACATAGGCTCTGCTGAGGTGATGCCTCCCCTGTTTGGCAGGACCAGTCAAAAGTCTCCTCCAGGGCATGTTGGGCAGGTGCGGCAGCTTGGGGACGCCCGCCTGGAGCATGGCCACATAGCAAAGCCTGGCGATTGCGTTCCGTGCCCAGCAGCATGATACGTGTGGGATGACTCTAAATCAGAAACAGGCTTGCCAACATGCACCTCCCTCTGCTAGCTGCCGGCCGGCACCCCGCAAAAAGCTGGGTTCGACTTTGCCGTTCCAAATAGGTGACAAACTCACAACACCAATGCTCAAGTTAGACCTTGGCAAAAGGATGGGTGAGACTGCTTGAGGCCCGGGCTCCTGACGCGGCGACCCGGAAAGGCATGAACAGTGGAGGCACTGGGTTTCATGGAAAGTGAAACCTTAATGGTTCCAAGTTACGGGACTTGCCCTCAAGCCAGGCCAACACGGTGGCAAATGATTGATTCAGAAAAGTGTTATGCAACCTAAATAAAACTCAGTGAGACAGCAGAAAGCTCATACAGCCATGCCTCCTCCAAGTACATTGATACGAGCTTGTTTGCAGGCTGCTCGAGGATGGAATTCCCACGTACGTGCAAACGATTCCCGCTTCTACAGGCTGGGCAATCAACCTTTGCGTGAGAGAGCTTGTTCTGCCATGCGCTTCTACAAGTATGCCGCATCCCTTTTCGCTGAAAAGGCACAGCTCAACTGCATTCATCAGCAAGGGCACACATTCCTGATTGCATTCCCTGTGGAAAGTCTGCATACGCCCCAGGGCGGCCAGAGTGTGGCAAACAAAGCCACACATTGCAGCAAAACTTCTGAGCCTGATGCATTTTGCATTGTCATGTGCAAGGCCAAGTAGGTTGCAAACTGGAATGGCCCAACTCGGAGCCACACTGCCGACATTGCCAAAATCGTGGCTGTTGGTGCAATGCTGCAGGCCGGAAAATGCGTGTCACGCAAACGGAACAGATTGAGTAAGGTGCGAGGAGATCTGCGTGGGCGGCCTTCGGGAGGTGAGCTCCTCGGTCGTTCTACCCTGTCCAGTCCGATCTGTCCGCCAGGCCTGGACTGAGCCCCGCCCCATAGCCGCAGCAAGGAGTAGAGCTCCTCGATCCTGGGGGTCGTGCCAACATGTGACATCAAAGGTCTTGCAGGGCAGGAGCCCCATGGAAGCCTAAGGTCGACTGAACGCAAGAAAGCCAAATGATGAAACCCCTGGAAACTATATAGAAACTTGGCAAACATAAAGATGAAGGAGCGCAGCCTTTGCACACGAAGTACTCATGTAACACCAAGTGAATGGCGAAAACGTTCTAGGAGTGAATCAGCTGGAGGTATTGCCCAACCAACCACGTCACCATGTTGCTTAGGTTGGCCTGTTGTGTTGGTCAAGTGTTTTGAGAATGGAAATGGTATAGCGCTGCAAGGCTGCAAAGTTGGTGGACGCACCATCCGACAGCCCCAAAAAACGTGGATTCATGAACAGGTCAACGCAAGACCCGATCTTCAGGGCATTCAGAAGAATACGTTCAAACAACACAAAACAAATTCACCTGTAAAACTGCACATGTAGGATGCTGCCTGAAGGATTGCTAGGAAACACCGGAAAGACCACACCGAGCGCTTGATTTGAACGTTGATGTCAGCCTTGCAAAACAAACGATACAAAAAGCAAGAAAAGCTCTTGGGGCCACAACTGCGTAGCTTCACTGCTCTGCTTCGAGGGTTTTGAGTGCGAACAGGCCCCGGCCTGTGCAGCTCATGAGGCGCGTCGCCCACGTAACGCACGAACTGCAGGCACCGCGCGCCCCGCACATCGCGGCTGTGTTGACATAGCACCCTGACAGGGGCAGACATCTGGCGGAGAATGAAATTTCAACAGCTGGAAACAGCTAGAAACTGAAGGTGCCCCATGCTGTGAGCCAGGCATGCAAGCGGCATCTGCCGGAAAAATATGCTGAGCTTCTTTCGGACTTGCAAAATTTACTCTTGGCAGCCGAGTTGGTGGGCCCAAGCCACGCAACTCAAGCCCAGCGGCAATGCGCGCCTGAAACGCCGGATGCGGCGATCCAGTTTGGCTTGGTCCAGCTGCGGGTGGTGGTGTGGGAACCTGGGCAGGTGACAGAACAGGACTTGCATGGTGGTCGATTCAACAGAAGGATGGGTCTGATGCGACAAGTGACTAGTGGCTACCTGACATATGCCAGCAGCCTCACTGGAGGCTACCTCATGCTTTCTGAAGCTAGGGCACACCTCTTGCCAGTCTGGTGCACAGCCACTTGAGTAAGGAATGAACTTGCCCATGCTCACGCTTGCAGGTCAACTACATTCTTCTGACAACTCTGTTGCCCGACACGGCCACTGAATCCAAGAATCGCATGCATCCAGGACCGGTAGTTGTGGAAAATGATGCGCTCGAGGCCTCGCACACGCCGAGTCCCAACCATTAGGCCGACCCGAGCCCCCCGCGGTTGCGAGTCCCGGCGATACATGAAAGCTTGTACGAGCATTTGTCTCGCGGCCTGGTGGGTGCACGTCGATCATGTCATTGTAGTGGAAGAAGTTGTCGAAGTTGTGGCGAAGGAAGAAAAGTACCGCATCCAGCGATGTCCTCAAAAAAGGTTTCCTGGATCATCCTGGATCGCACTCTTCCCTGCCCCGCGCAAAAAGGTGATGCCTTGTCTCGCGGAATTGGAAGATTCCCAGTGCAAATGTCCTCCTACTTAGAATGATCGAGAGGACCAAAACCCTTCCAGACTTCTGCGAAGCTTGGATCTGCTTCGGGCTCGCGAATCAAAGGCGCCCCCATACAAACTTTGAGGCTGCCAAGCCACAGAAGTGAATCGAAGGGCAAGTACCTGCGGTCGCGGAAAGTTTGCATGGGGCTACTATCAGCCTGGAGTGGTGCTCAAGGTGCCTCATGACCATTGCTATGTCCCTGCAAAACCCTACGGTGGTACAGAAGATTCTTCCACGAGCGACTTCAGCTTCCAAACGTGCCACAGTGCTTTCATGTGCTTGGAGGAAGGGCAGCTGCATAAAAACAAGCCATAGTCCTTATTTTACTGTGCTCAACTATGTGACCACTGAAACCCCTCAAAAAAAATAGTCAGGCGTTGCTGGCCCAAATCCCCACATTTCAAGGGCCAAGGCACTCCGCGCCATGGAAGTAGGGATAGCCCACCTGAGCTGAAACTCACGCGGACCCGAAACGCCACGAAAGGGACATGCCCAGTGTGAGAACCCCCTCTCTTCGAAATCCAAATTTGCTTCCTGTCCAGCTGCCGTTTCGAAAGCCTAGGCCGACGAAGCGATCTAACGAACAGCAAGCACAGCTGCAACTTGTTGAAGTTATATAAGTCTAAAGGACGCAGGACGGCAGGCATGTGCAGAACACAACGTGCTGGCACAAGGGACTTCATTAACATCTCTCACGGCCTGCTCACAATTCGTCTCTAGGTTTGTCCCACTCAACTACTAGCATGTAGGTGATCAATACGATTCCTTGCGCTAAAATGGGTCTGCAGAAACGTTGCGGCTGCACGTGTTTTCTACTCGGTAAAGAATACTCAACAAGATTTCGGGGCCATCAGGCCATCAAGGCAACCAAGCACTCCTCACCAGAAGCCATCTCTTCCGACTAGCGAGTAAAAGCGAGAAGCAAAATTCGCTAATTCAGCCAGCCAAATGTGAACCCTGAATGCAAGTACGGCAAGGGCCCAAACAAATAGAATGGGGTTGTGCGGTACGAAAAAGTCACACAAGCAAGTCACAATCACAAGGGAACTCTGCTAAACTAATTAGCCCCCGATATTACACCAAACCAAACTTCAAGCCAAGCCCGCCATCCAATTCCAATACTCCCAACCCCCCCCCCACCCCCTCTCAGCATCTCCCAGCGACTGACCGGATTACGTTTTCAGCCGAGGGGCGGGGCAGTGGGCGTCTCCAGAGCACTCGTCGATGCCCAGCTTCACGCAGCAACGGTTGCCCAAACTCACGGGGTAGATGCCACGCCCTGAATTGGAGCCACCCAGCCCAATGGAGGGATTCGCAAAAAATGGATGTGGCGCAGTGGTGCTAACCAATATAAGATAGTTCCCGTTGAATGGCTTAAAGGAGAACCGAATAATGGCAAGGGCCCTTATGCCAACCCAAAGGGTGCTTTCCCATCTTTTGAGAAACACTCGGATCTCAACCAAATAAATCCTTTCCGAAGACCGTGGTCAGCTTCAGTCCATGTCACTGGGGGCACCCCCGTAATTGGGCTCCGAGAAATGCCACACAGCCTGCCCTAGTGGTGTTACAAGCAGCCGGGTGGGGGGGGGAGATCAGCGTATATACGATTTACAATGTTTCCGGGGAAACCATCATCTTAGATCATCGAGCCGCTTCCCTTCATCTGAAAGGTCAAGCTCTGCCGCCGAATTTCATGCACGGGGACGTGTCAGTTGCTACCCCCAAAGCTCATCCACCGATTGTGTGAATTCTAGGCAAGCTGTAACGCGAAGCAGGAAACGGGGAGCAGCTGAACCCCTCGCCACCTGGATTGGCGCACCCGCAAGAGCAGAAATGTTCATCGCCTGTCCAAAGCCTCATTGCTATCTTAGAACCTTGTTGCTAGGTTCCATCGCGGCTCGGAAACTCAGAGCTCAGTCGCTTCCCCACCTGAAGGCCAGCAGGGGCAGTTGTTGATGTTGCTGCCGTCACAGGCCTCCAGGTCCCGGGGGGCTTTCCAAATGGCCATGGATCAAAAGCCCGTACCCCCAGTGAATCCCAATCCCCACTAAAATAGACTAAAATGGGTGGTGCACCTACCCCAAAATGGTACCATTGGTTTTCACCTACAGCCAAATGACAATCCCGGATTGACATGGCGGGGCCCCGAAAGACAACTGCTGCGATGCATTGGGAAGCAAACGGCCCACCGAATCCATCCTGGTCGCTGGGATGTCGGGAGCACCTCAAATCCAGTGGGTCAACAGGGAAAGGGCGCAACGCGTCTTCTCCGACCTTGACCAGGGAAGGCAGAGTCAACTTATTCAATCTTGTGTAGTTCTCTGACTGAACCCGTGGCCCTGAATGACCGAGTTGGAAGCCCAAGGAATTGGGTGGCAAAACAGGCTGAGAAACGACATGTTTCAAGGCACCTTCCGGTGGCCTCCCTGCTGGTAGGAGGGGGGTCAACCCTCCCCACCAAACACCAAAAGAAACAAGAACAAGGCCCAACCCTCCCAAAGAAAAATAATGACAAACGCCCAAGACAAAAAAAAACAACTTCTACGGGCGGAGTTTCGTGGGGTTTAGCTTCTGGCCTCCGACAGCGCCAGCTCCGAAGGCCTCAACGCCACAACCTGGTCGGAGAAAGCTGGCGCTGCGCGAGCTTTCGCTTGGCGCATGGGAGGGTATTTGTTTCCTTCAGCTTCTGGCGGTTTGCTTACCTCGTCTTGTGCAGAATGCAGAACCTGGGAAAGTGAGGTCTTCCTCAGTTTCCGCAGTGACTTGGGAGGGTATGTGTCCTCCACATCGGGTAGGTCAACTGCTGATAATGACCACTATCCTCCCACCAACAAACAGGGAAGTGCACAGCCCCCCTTTCCAAAAGGAACGTTATCTTCTCCAGGTTTTTTGGTGGAAGGGTACTCACGAAATCTGGGGAATCAAGAGCAGGTAGTGAATGTGTGTGCTCCAAGGATCAGGCTGAGAGTGTTCTCAGGGATCCTTTGCATGGCCCCCCCTCAGGATCATGCGAGGGAAAGGCCTAAGATCTCAATATGCCTATGTAATGCGCCTTCATGCCGCAGCCCAGGTAAAGTGAATCTACGGCAATCGATGTAGCGACGCTAAGCGAAAGCAGAGCTTACGCCAAAACAATGGCAAGGCAAAACAAAGAAGCACACAGCACGGGGCACAAGGCCAGACCCCCCGAGCGCAGCGGCAAGTTGGAGCCACGGCTAAACCGCCCGCGCCTTCCGGGATGGCAGCAGCACCTCCCAGACCTGCTGCTGCACATCCCACCACAGCGCCTGGCTCCTCTGGCCATTCAGACCTCGAGACATCCCGAGACTGCAAGGCAAAGCGACGGCGAAATCACCGGGCTGCGCGCAAGTTTCATCTCAAGCAATGCATGGGGCACTTTGGGGCACCTGCGAAACAGCCGGCCTACAAAAGAATCCTCAGCTTCGACAAATGCCAAGTGACCAGCAATAAGTTACAGGTTAACCGTGCTTGCCCCCACCCCACCCTCAAATGGGAAACTGTGGGGATTTGGGGACCACCCTGCACACATCTCCTCACAGTTTCCGGGCCCACGTTGTGCCGAGTTGCCACTGCGCTTGCTTTGGCCAAAAATGACGACCTGGCCGACCCAAAAGCGAAAGCAATTGTCGGATGAGTTACTGTGCATGAAGGGCAAGCCTATGAGTCGTGAAAGACGCCTGCAAGAACAAAAAACTGCAGCTGCAAAAGGAAACCGGCTGCCTAGGTGCGCAAAGTTTTTCAGATTGCAGTCCAGGGCGTGGTTGGCACAAGCATGTAATAATATGGTAGGATCCCGCGAACTGCTTTACATGCATCTGGCCTTTAGATACATGAATGTAATAAGATCACACACGAGTGACGGCACAGCGGTGTGGGTGCCACAGCCCCTGCCAAACCGCTGTTGTACCACAGTCGCGCGCAGCCTTGGCAACATCTATTTATGTATATATATATATATATGTGTGTGTGTGTGTGTGTGATATACTTGAACTGCGGTGCTTTTCGATTCGAGCCGCATTTCCTTCCTGGCTACGATTGTCAGCACTGACCGTCGCAAGCAACTGGCACCTCGGGCCATGTAGGATCAGCTCAACGCAACTGTTGGGAGTTGGGACTGAAATTGCATCTTTTGTGGCTGGATCCAAACCTGGGCACGCAGTCACCCCACTGCCCTCGCTGCAATCATGGCAGCTGACAGCTTCCATACCCCAGGGACACTGGCAACCCTTCGGCGGACGGCGGCATCTGGGCACTTGAGACCAGCTGGCTTTCCAAGCTTCCCAGCCCCAAACTCGAACATGTGTGTGTGTGTGTGTTTGTTTCAAGCTAGGGGCGGCAAAGTGGCGGTTTTCCTTTTGGCTTCCCCTTAAAGAAAAAAAACCCAGAATGGGTACCCTCAAAAAAAGAACGACCAAAATCCATCTCGTGTTCACTTCCCCTTCCTGTTTTCTCACCTCCCGGTTCCTCCCGCCTGGGCTCCCACATCCACCTGGCTGTCGCAGCCTTCGGCGCCGGGGGTGCAGCAACAGCCCAGCTGCTCCAGGCCGCCGTGCTCCTGGCTGGAACCATCGTAAGGGGCGAAGCCTTAGGGTCCATTTTGCGACCACGGTTGTTTCTTTTTCCATTTGTTTTCTTGTCTTTTTTGTGGGGGGCAGGGGTTCAGGAACAAGTTGGAGGAACCATCACGGGACTACCTCAACAGCAGGAGCCACCAGGGCAACCCGAGCCGACAGAAGGTTGGAAGGCAAATGAAGGTGATCGAATACACAGATCGCGCTTGGAAAGTAGTCTTGGCCGAGGTTGCAGGCTTGGCCCTCTTGAGCTGTATGGAACCAGAAACCCCTCAGCAATTGTGATTAAACTGGACCTATGCTTCAAAAACCGAATTCGCCCTCAAATATAACTAGGCACTGCCCTTCCAAACGCCAAAGACTTGCTCCCGCCTGCGTCATGAGCTGCCAAGTGGAGCTCAGGTGAATGCGGTCGCCCTCTCCTGCCTGCAGTGGGTGATGGCGCCGAGGGGGGGGGGGGGGAGGGGTCGAGTCTGCGTTAGCCACCTCCAGGCAAGCAACCATAGAGGCACTCTGGACTGGTTGTTCTGAAATGTGTGCAAAAAGACGTAGGTGCAGGAATCCGGAAGACGGCGGAGCAAAAGTCAAGAAACCAGAGGCCCTCAAATTGCAGGAATCTTCGGAACAGCTCATTTGAGCTATTTTTCTCGGTCTGGAAAATCGTGTGAGGGGTGTCATTGTATAGCCGGGAGTGCTCCGTGCTCCCCTTCACTGCGCTGGCACCCGACCCTCTGATTTTCGAAACGCGCACACACACACAAACAAACAAACAAACAAACAAACAAACACCAATTCATGTTTGTGCATGTTCTGCAACGTTTGGTGAGGCATACCGCGCCATTTGCTTCGACACAGCTTGCTCACTTGCTTTTTGAGTGTGCGTATGGATGATGGGAGGTGGGCGGCTGCAGAACATTCCTCATCTTGCAATGCTGGGGCTGTGGGGAACGTAAAAATCAAAGCAAGAGTGCCGTGAGTGGCCAGACTCTCCACCGCTTCCCGTGGCTTTTTTCAGAGTGCCAACCTCCGGTTGCATAGGGCTAGGGTTTAGCCCAACCTGGCTTGGGGCAGTGGATGATTTTCCTCAGGGTTTCTAATGGTTGAACACATCGCCAAATGGTTGGCGACATGCTGGTGTGTTCTTTACATGGACCACAAAAGGAGCCCTGAGCTGAATGAAAGAAACAAGTAAGAAAACATAATGTCCGATTCCAACAGAACTTTAAACATCTTTAAACATCCGAGTATCAAGTCTCGCCAGAGCACATCACCAAGGTCTTTGCTGTCAGCTGAAGACCGGCATAGCTCGCGGCGCTTTATCGGGTTGCAAAGCCATAGGGACTTTATCGGTTTGATATACAAGAGCTAAGTTCACGGGCGGCGCAAGAAAGAAGCTCACAAGCCGTCACCAGTTGTCACCGGTTGTCACGGGTTGTCACCGGTTGTCAAAGTTCCACCCACCACAATGTGCCAAAGATCTTTCCCGTGGAAGTGGACAAAGGTGCCGTGGCTCCCAGGACCCAACGCCAAGACACGCAGGCAGGGCAGCTCGGCACGCTCTCCCGTCGCAGCTCCATGAGGAGGCCTGAGATCAAAAGCTTGGTTTTTGGAGCACGCGCCACAGGCGGTTGTCCTGGAACCAACCGGCCACCGGAGCGGTTGTTACCCCAAAAGCAGCGTCACCCTGACAGCACGGTTACCTCACAACCCTTCCCAACCAAAAAAAGATAACAAGACCTGGCCAAGCAACCTGTTTTCAAGGTTGGCAATTTGTAATGGGGAAGCCACCAAACCAGGGGATTTAGAGGATGGAAGCCACTGAAAAACTGAGCAGCGCCC